ATTATACAGTGTAAATGAGGAATGTGAGCAGATACATAGATCTTCTCATTGTGCTGTGAATTTCTTACAGGAGGTGTCACTTCTAAGGATTACTGTCTAACTCCATTCCATCTGATAAATGTAACGTACTTTGTCACAAACACCAACCAGTCTGTACTGTGATGGGTCAGAAAGGCATATCTTTGCTTTTAGCTCATCATTTTGAATACTGATTATTTCTTAAGTCCACTTTGACAAGGGTACAGGACAGACACAGCAGGCTTACATCAAGGGCTGTCAAATTTTTTTTGCACTGTGGGACTGTTTCCTTTTTTTTTTTTGCTTTGGTTTGCTTTGAAATCTCCTAACAGTCTGAAACAACAGTGATTTATGTAATATTGGAAACATACTTCTGCATTTCAGAAGAGGTAGTGAACAGATTTGAGTTTCAACATTTCAGAGAACTTTCATTACTGTAAAGATAAATAGAAGAGAGAAACGTGAAATGCCTTTTTATGTATTTTGCTGTTACTCCCAGCCTCGTCACAGCGCTTTTTAAAATCTGAGGAGTACTTGGCCTTTACTATATGCCAGTATGACTGAGTAGAAGTTCCTATTCATTTGGAGATTTTTATACCTCATGTGATGGCTTTCTTTTCATTTATGATGTTAGGGCTCTTCTCTAGTCACTTTAATGTAATACCTGTTTGGACAGTATGCCAGCAATTAGTCATCTTGAAAATCAACCGACATGCTCCTCATTATGTGATGGGAAGAGCATAATGTGGTTTCCTTCTTAACCTTCTCTGTGCTGCCACAAGAAGTGCTACAGTATGAAGCTGCTTACAAACATCATGTGCTATGAGGAGAAGTGGTTTAAGCCCGTATTTAACCCTTGGAAGCTGAGGGAGACACAGTCTCGATCCTAGAGGAGATTTTTCATGATGTTACCTACACGGGGGCAGGCTTTTGCAAGTGTGGAAAGGCTGGTTTCACGCCATTTGGCCATGAAGTAATGAGGCATAAAAGGGAATCTGTCCCTTTCAGAGTTTCCAGACCCCGCTTCTCTGCGTGCCATTCTCTCCTTCATAATCTTTTGCAGATTTGTGGAAGATGAAAGCAACCTTCACGTAAGTTTAGAGCGAAAATAACATGCTGGAATGGCACTTCTAGTAAGCAGGGACGCAGCACTGCAGTTGCTGATGTAAGAGACAAAGCCTTTATTGAAGTATATGCTAGTGCTTCAACAGAATGAGCTAAGAAATCTGGGAGCATTTAGCAGTGGTCCCCCATGGATTTATGGTCACTTTTGTCATACATTATTTCCTGTCTTGAACATGCTGGCTGATCTTTTTGTATCACAACTCAAAGCTCTTCCTTTCTTTTTCAGCTTAACAGATCATTTTGACATATTGGCAATAATCACCTCAACACTAAAACTATCTGGTCTGCCTCCAAGCCCTGCCTTCCTGGCATTGCACTTCACACTTCTCTCCACCTTCACACAGCAATATCTGATAGTGTCGGCTCATCTAGAAATCCTAGGTGTCTTTGAACTTATCTGATATTGGTGCTGTGTTTCTTTTACCTCTTAGAGGATTTGGTCACAGCCTTTGGGAAGTCAACATGTATTCACTATAGCATAGTGAAGCCAGCGATCGTTTCACCATGTTTTCTTTAGATCTTAGATTATTTCCCTTGTTCTTTCTAGCAGACAGGTGACTGTGAAATACCACCGTGCTGTCTCTCTATGCAAGAACGCTGTTTGTGAGGATACTGATCCCTCTGACACGTTAGCATACCTTGCAAGAGATGCTGACGCTCTCCCACAGCAGGTTCAAACCCAAGTGGGACTGCCACCCATCTGTGCCTAACTGCTAATGTCCAAAATGCGCTGAGCTACAGAGTTTAGTTAATAGGAACAAGCAATATCCAGCTTTAGCATCAGGGATTGAGTTTTGCTGTTCGCTTTTACCAAACCAAGTACTATTTCTGCAGTTGCAGGTGTGGGGCTGGGAGCCCTTTCCAGAGCAGTGTTGAAGTTGCAGATGCACATCTTGCCTGGCTTCTCCACGGCAACCATGCTTCTCGGATAACTTCTGGGATCTGTGATTTGCAGCCCTGATGCCTCCTTCTTCCATTTGCTTTATTTCTCCTGCTGCTTGTAATTTGCTTTCCTGAAGAAAGGAGGTTTATGCAGATGTTTGGGGGTGTTTTTTTTTGTTTGTTTGTTGTTTTTGTTTGTTTTGTTTTGTTTTTTTTGTCAGAGTCCCCCAGTATAAGCTTCTCAACCTTCTGACATACGTCAACCAAACCTAACAGAGGTGCAGAGCTTTTGGAAATACAAAATCTGTCAAGTTTAATGGCAAACAGTAGCTGTATTAAAAAAAACCTTCTTAGTGCTCTGCCTGGGAAAAAGGCAGAGAAAGCTCAGCCCTTATCAGCACTGTTTGGCTTCCTCAGCAGTAGAGAAACAGTGAGCAGTTGGCCAGCCAGCGCATGTGTAGCCTTGGGCCAGCCATAACATGTGCCACTCTGTGCCCAGACGGCAAGCTGATAAAAGTAGATTGGGGACATAGAAGGAAGCTTTGAATATATCAGAAGTCAGCCTCAGTGAAATAAGAGCAGAGAGGGCTGTGGATTTATTGCAGCGAGGAGGTGAATGGAATGTCTGACACAAATCCATAGAAAAACTGAGCTTAATTAACCTGCTGTTCATAGAAAAAAATTCTCACTGAATCCATTGAAACCTCCACAAAGCAAGTGCTGTGCTGGCTGAATAGCCTGTATCTGTTTCCAGGTACAGCATGCCTGGAACACCTCCTTATCTTTCAGAAACATGATGGTAATCTGTTAGCAGCTCTGCATTGTCTGCAGAGGGTATCTTCTCCATTTTACTTTTGTGTTTATCTCATGACCAGCTTGAATCTCAAACTGATGGAACAAGGGGAGTAAATACAACAGAAAACTTGTAAACTACTTGTCTGTTTCAAGCTGGGAAAATCCAAGCACAGACGAGGCAAGAGGGAGACTTCTGTGAGTACACATCTATCATTCTGTCAGAAGGGCTAAATGATGGGAGAGTTGCCTCACCTGGCTCTTGAGAACACCAAGCCAGTGGAGATGGGATACATGCCCAAGATGCTGAATCATAACACCTACGTCACCCAGTGCAGAAACCATTTCAGCCTGGAAGAGGATCATGTCTCTGGAAAGCAGTTAACGCTGGTGAGATGTGACTTCAGGTATAAAGGAAGTAGCTTGCAGTTGAGATGTATGGACGGAGGAATAAAGAAAAGTATCTAATTGTGGAAGTGGAAAACCAGAGCACCTCCAGCAGACTTACAGCAAAGCTGGAACATATCTTTTCACCCAAAGCAACCTCATTAAACTCCCATCTTGTGGCTTCCCACTCATGCTTTGGGGAACCTACTGGGCATCACCCCAAGGACCTCTGCAGAGCAAGTAGCGATGGGTTTTGCATGCTGATGGGTCCCCAGCCGCACAGTTGCAGTCAACAGGCTCTGATTTACTTGTGGTGAACCTGGGCATTTACTTAGGTGCAGGAATTTGATTGTATTGCATCATAACCACATTGCAGGTGGTTAAAGCTCTTAAGAGCCCACCGAAGGCAGGCACTAAAAAAAAACAAAACAAAACAAAACAAAACAACAACAAACCAATGCAAGGGGAAAATAGCTCTCTTGAGAGGCACTGAAGGTGGGGGAAGCAGCCCTGCGCCTGGTGCAGGGGGAGGGTGGGCAGCCTTTACCTCAACGTCACACCGCGGGGACCCTCAGGATGGCAGCAGGGCCCGCCCTCGCCGTGGGGGCTGTTAAACCATCACAGGAGAATGAAGCCGTGGGCGGGTTAAACCTGTTTTGGGATGAGATCAGGGAAACGGGGGGTTGGTGAGGGTCCGGGGAGCAGCGACACGCCACCTCCACTATGTGGGGACGGAGCTGCGTCCTGGCCCCCTGAGGGGCCACCATGGCGCCCGCCCTGCACCGGCCCCCTGAGGCGAGAGGCTTTGCCCTCCCTCGTGCAAGGAGCATTTAAACTCCGCTTTAGTGCCGGCTGTATTGCCCGCTCGAAGGCAGGAGGTGTCCCCGGGCCGGACCCCCCGCCGTCCCTGAGGTAATTTCTGGCGGGAAAGCACGCACTACTTTTTCTCAGCTCCCACCCGCCCGCGGAGCGGAAGGGGACAGGCACCGCACCGCCACCGCCGCCCGATCCCGCCGCCAGTGCGGCTGCGCGCCTGCGGGCCACCCAAACCGCCGCTCCGCTTCTCCATTGCCGATCAACCGCCCCCAGCAGGCGCGCGGGGAGACGAGTGACAAGCCAGCGCGCCCAATGAGCGCCGCCGCCCCGCCCCCGCCGCGCGGGGCACGCAGCACCGCCCACCCTCCTCGCGTTTTTTTCTTTTTTTTTTTTTTTTTTTTTTGACCCGCCCGCCGCCGGGACTCGATTAGCGGCTCAATTCGCCAATCGGCGTCTCGTCTTGGGGCCGGGGTCGCCCGCTTGCCCAATCCCCGCCAGCTGCTCCCGAAGTGACGGGCGGCGCAGCCAGTGACCCACCCGCTCGCCCAGCGCCCCGTGGGGCGGGGCGCGGCGGCAGCCAATGGACGCGGGGCGGGGGGGCGGGCGCGCACGGGAAGGCACCGCTGAGGGAGGAGGGCGGCCGCGCAGCTCGCCGAGGAAGAGGTTGGTCCCGGGGCGGTTTCGGCGGGCCGCGCTGCGGGAGGGGGGCACGGCGGGCGGCCGCTCCTCCGGGAAGAGGTGCCCCGCCGGCTGCGTAAGGGCTGCGGAGGGAACGGGCTTGGCCCCAGCGGCGGGAGGAGGGGGGGGGGTCGGTTGGCGGAGGGTGGGGGGGCGCCTCCCCACGCCCTCCTCCCGCTTTGTTGTGGTGGGACGCGGCCGCGGTGGGCCCCGGGGGTTTTGGGGAGGGGGGGGAAACGGCGGCGTGGGGCGGGCCCTGTCGGGTGGGCGTGAGGGGAAGCGGGGCGGGGGTGTGTGGGGGAGGTGGCTGTCACACACACCCCCCCCCCTCACCCTCCGCCGCCCACACGCCGGAGGAGCCCCCCACGCGGGGCGGTGAAGGGTGGGAAGGGGCGGCTTGTGCCTGCCTGTGTGTGTGTTGGAGGGTGAGGGGCGGGAGAAAGAAAGAAGAGGAAAAAAAAAAAAAAAAAGTTCTGCTTCTCCTTCCCCTCCCTCTCTGCCCGGTCTGTTTTTTCTTGCAGAGATCAGGTGTGCAAAACTTCGTGCCGGGGTGGTGGAGAAAGTTAGGATCGAGTTGCAAAGAAGTGTTTAGGATGGCAAGGCTTCTCTTCGGCCAGTGCCCTTTTGTCTGTTCCGCTCCTTGTCCAGAGCCACGGATGGGAAATACGTGCTGCCTGCATAAAACATGCACAGGCGAATTGCGACTAGTGGTTTTCTTCATGGCACTGGTTTTAATGCTGTAGCTATCTATGCATTGTAAAATGTAAACAAACATAATGTGCTCAGTGTTTCATCTACCTAGATAAGCACATGGGAGAAGTTGTGTTGTGATAGATGCAAGTAGTTGGTGTTACTGCAGAGTTGTAGAAGTCCTATTTGTAATTTTTTGTGGGGGATGGAGGGGAAGAGAAAAAGCGTGACACAGTACAGTCTTTTAGTCTTTACTCTGGGGAAATAAAAGAAGGAAAAAAAGTGGGTGAGTGAAGAGCCCTTGTGATAATCTTGGAGAGCTGTTGAATCGAACAGCTGGGATTCAGACTGCAGCCTAGTCTCATGCCTTTTTGGTTGTCCGTCACGGTTTTTGACTTAAAAAAAAAAAAAAAAAAACAAACACCAGCACATGTATGTTGTGCTCTTTTCAAATACTTTACAAACAAGTAGATAGCATTAAGAACAAGTTTTACTTACTGAGTTTACCAAACTAGTATTTCTGAAAACGCTGCTAGTGGATGCTGCAGCCTGTGTATATTGCGTGTAGAGCTCATGTTATCACAGTTCATGGTTATAAGCAAGTCAGATTCCATCTGTAGCAAGAGGTATATAATGACAGCTTATTAGGAGACCGCACATAACAGCAGGTTTGTCTGTTCTTAAGTGTTCCTCTCTTAGCCTGGAGAGCTGTACTTTTAGTCTGATTCATGACATTATTTCTGTGGGGGCTGGACTGTGTAGTGAGAGGCTGATTATTCTTTGCTCTGCTCTCCAGACTGAAAAAAACCCTCTTGTTGTTAAGGTGAAAGGCTTCTCTTAGCAGAACAGGGTTGCTGTTTAGACTTTCTTATGCTTTATGGCAGCGTTGGAGCTTGCATGGTGCATGAGTAGATTATTTGTGTATGTGTGTGTGTTCTGAGATGTAGCTTTGAAACTTTAACATCTACAAACTCTCATGAATTAGACGGGAGTGAGAATGTAAGTAAAGGGGAGGTTTTTGAAGTCTGTTCCCCCCATTTGCTTAGCACTATCATGATGAAAGATAGCATTAGTTACAAATGCCTTTAAAAAGAGGAAGAAGAGGATCTCATTCAAGGTGGTTTAAAATTAACTCAAAGATGAGTCTAAGCACATGTTTAGCAATATACTGGGATGTTTAGTTCAGTAACCTGCTAGTTGATTGTTGTTTTGCAGTTGAGTGGGTCAGACTTGGGCTACACTGATAGTCACTGAAATGAAAAAAAGTGTTTGAAGGTCCAGTTTTCTTTATGGAAGAAGCTGGGAGTATGTAGCATAATCTTGGAGAAGCATTTGTCAGCTTTCCTGAGGTTCTGTTTGATGATAAAAAGGAGAACACAACTGAAAAAATTAGATTAAAAAAATTGGTCTCTTAACTGTTCTTTTCCTCCACCCAGAAGATAGATTCATGAACAAAATCAAATAAGCTTGAACTACACAATGAATTTCCAAATGAAAGGCCCTCCTGGGTCCTCCTCCATCTTCCCGTTCCACTTGATCTTTCAGAAATGTTGAGCACCAGTTGATATAATTGAGTTTATTGGAGCTCAAAAAATTTCTGCTACTGAGAGCAACTTTAAAAAACAAAACTTCTTTCCATCTCTCTAATCCCTTTCCCACAGAAGTACTGGGAGAACAGGCTTTATAGTAGGTTCTGGATAACAATGAATCTGAGCTCTGCTTGAGACTGAAGAGAATTCCTAAGTTTTGCTTATATAAAGAACAGTACACAAAGTTTTAATTGTTATAAAAAGTATTCTAGAGTTTTCAAATGTATTCAATGCTGCTTTAATGATTGTGCATGTAAATGCCCTGTAATTGAAAGAATCCATTTATGGGCCTGACTTGCTAAGTGAGCTGTAAATTCTGCTTTTCAGATTGGATTTAATGACTTTTATCATAAAGCCACAAACTGGTTGTGAACTGTGCCGAGAGGCAAACAATACCTAAGCTTACTTTGCCAAAATATTTGTAATTGTTGATTTGTTAAACTGAATTGCTGCAGGTCATGCGATGGGATTAGTTTTTTGAAATAGAATGGAGAGTACAGGCAGCCCTGTGTTCAATACTCTCTGGGCTAGAAGAAATTGGCAACCGCAGAAAACCTTCCTAAACATTGCTCTCTCCATTTCCAGTGGAGAAACTGTGTTACAAACAGTAAGGATTTGTTCCAGATGACAGTTTATTATGATTATGTGTGTTTGACAGCCACAGTGTGAAGTAAGACCAAGAGACTCAGAGAGCAGTTCCTGGGTCTCCTATCAGTTTAGTCTGGGGCTCAAGCTTGATTTAATTCTGCTGGAGCAATGCAAGCTTAACATAAGACACTTTTCAGTGCTAAGAGAACTCTGCTTATCAAGGGGGTGGGGGACTGGCCTGTTTGAAGAACGTTTATGTTAGGCCTGTATTGCAAGTGAACTTGCATTAACTAACTGTTAGGTGCAATTGTTTGTGGTTTAACGAAGCGGAGAAGCTGCTAAACCATACAGTTAAAGCCTGAAACAGGTACCTGGGCACCTGATAATCAGTTCTGTGAATATTCCTGTCAAATTTAGCCTGGGAGTATTTATTTTCTAAAATAATGAAACTGACACTTGCCAGTTGCACCTGGAAAATTTTAGTCAAATGAGGTGAGACGGGCTTAAACTGCTGTGGTTTGGAAAGTTCATTCAGTGCTTTTGTGGGGCTATTAAGGCCTTTTAGTTTCAAGGAGCAGTACTGTGAGGTTGTTCATAATACTAGGTACCTGGAAAAAGTTTTCTGCTTTGCAGAATCAGGTGGATTAGCTGACTGCAGTTGTAATTTTCCTCTTTTGTAATTTTAGGAGAGTTGCTAAAATACATCGGTCCTATTAGTAGTTTAATCAAAGGTCAGTAAAATTAACATCTCTTCTCATGTCACTAGTTGCATGCAATTTTAGTATACTATGAATGCATGTGTTACATACAGTGTGCTAATTTTGTAATAGCAATATAGCTTTTCGTTATTACATTTGTCTGTAATTTTCAGTAGATCTTAGTAACTGAAGAAATCCAGCTTTTTAAGCTTTTATAACATCATGATTTTACTTATTTTAGTTCTGTGTATGATAAACACAAGTTTTCCCAATTGATTCATAATCAAACTTCATGAAATGAATGAGAAAAAAAAAATCTACTTTCAAAGTGGATGGGTAGTTCTGTTTTCAGTGAGCTGTATGAAGGTAATAGAGTTATACAGAGTTGCAAGATGCATTGCAATACTAGAGCAAAATAAACCTAAAAATTAATGTGTAAATTGATTCTGTGTACAGGCACATTGCAAAATCCTCATTCTAAAGCTGACCCAGAGGAAAAATTTTCTTTGCTCCTGTCCCCCACGCTCCCCCACCCCCTTCCGGTCACAGGCAGCTTGCCCTTGAACTTCGTGTCTTGTGTCAGAGCTGTACCAGGACCTTGGCTTTACTTCTGGGAGCTTTGGCCCGTGAGCTGGCCAGATGGAGCTGCGGTCCAGATGGAGCCCCTTGGGAGGGAGCTCTTCAGAGCCACTCCCCACTGCTGGCCTAATTGGCTGAAAGGCTGAACTGGGAGGTGGATCTGAGGGCACTGCTCAGTAGGGATGGATTCCCCTTCCCCCAGCTCTTCATCCCCACCTTCCCCAAAGCAAAAAACCCCAAACACCCAAAAACCAGTAAGGGAATACTTGAAGCTGTCCTACTCTGAGGACTCTCTGAGGAAAGAAGACTGGGCACCATCTCACTTTCTTGTGTTGTTTTTCTTCAGAAAAGTATGTATGTGGCAGCAGGTTTGAGTATGACAAAACCAGGTGTCTTTGATATGCATTTCTAGGGGAAGAGAGAATTAGCACTTCTGAAATCTCAAAAGGCAGTTTTTGGAGGGGCTGTGGCTGCAATAGGAGATGTGAAATGTCTTCTCTTGTCTGTTGTACTGAGTGCTTTAACTAGAGTGAATTATATCTGAAAGGGAAAAGACTGGCTTTGATTTTTAGTTTGAACTTCATACCAGGTTTCCTGTGAGTTGAGATCATTAACACTGGGGAGAACTTTCTCAGATTCCACTGAGAATAAACTGTCTTCTTGTTTGGAATAACACATCCTAGAGGATACAGAAGCAGATAATAAATTAATTTTATTTTGCTTCTATTCAATGCAAGATAAAATACTTGGTTTGTTGTTTCTCTAAGCCTTAATGACTAAATATAGGAGACACATGCAGTAGCGTATTAGCTATGCCCTTTAAAACTTCAACTCTCAGTATTGTTTAGCCTAACATAAGGTCTTGGTGCTGGCTTAAATAGACTGTGCTTCAATTAATGTTACCTTATTGTGAAGCCAGTAATATCACGGGGGCTCCTGTGAAGGGAAAGGGTGGATATTCCCTCATGTAAAAGATCTGAAACGTTGTGCACTTGGTGAAATTAGTAAAGAATCTTGTTCAAATTCCAGGATTAATGAAAAAAACATTGCTTTTGAAAAAAAAAATCACAAAAATGGCACTAAAATAGGGTGGAAGTTCGCTTGTAGACTCTTTCTCAAATACCACAAATTATTTTCCTCGATCTTCTTTCCTCAGGAGCTTAAGTTCTGTCCTCTTTATTCCAGAAGAGCTCTCACAAATGAAATTCCTGTAAGCCAGAATACTTCTAGTAAAACCAGGAGAGATCAGATTTCTTTATTTCAAGTTTAAGATGAATAAGCAGACTGATATGAAATATGTTGCATAAGGCTTTAGAATAAATTAGCCAGAAGTCACTTGATATTTTTGGTAGCACCAGTGTGTTTATAGTATGTTCCAGACACTCAGGAAAGGAGAATTTCCCTTGAAGATTTTAGTCTGCTAGAATGCTGCCCTTAAGGTTTTCTTCATCTTTTATGCTTAGTTATTGCTGGGATCATGGGCTTAATATTTAATACTTATTCCAGAAAACAACAGTAGAATGGAATAATAGCAGACATGACTCAAACTGTGACTTTAAAACTTGCCAACTATGACACTGTTTGACCAACTATAGAAACGTGTGCATCAGGAAGCAGAGATACACTACGGGGGCAGAGATGAAACAAATACCACCAAAGTTAGGCAATTTGTAAATTTTCCAGTATTAATCCATTGGGAATAACAGCACGTGCTCCCTATGTTCCAGCAATCTGAAGAAACACTTGTACCTCTCTGGGCAACAGAGTGAGCTTTCTTTGAGTATTCAGAGCTTCAGTTTTAAGGCACAGTCCAGAGAACGTGGAAAGGGATAAAATAGTGGAAGCTTTCTGCTATGTATTGCCCTGCTGCCTTGATACTAATCATTCAACTGTAGTTGAGCTCAGAAAGGGGTCTTGAAAATCTCCCTGCAGTTACTCACAGAGTTCCAGTATGTTGGTGTGTTGTAGTGGAAATTGGAAATAGTACAAAGGAAGGTAAAAGATTGGATTTGGGCTATGGTGTTGGGCCTCGGTGGAAGAGAGTGAACAAAGGAGAGATGGCGCAAAGAATAAGCGATGGCAAAGCACTTCTAAGGTCCGTAAAAGCACAGGCTGTAAATGAGTACTCTGGTTTTGGAGATGATTGGCTGTAGACTACAAGGAAATCACAAAAACTGTACTGCAAGGAAGAAGGGTTATTACATATTTAGCATGTATTTAATCTGCAGCCATTTTAGAAATGTGGAAATATTTCTTCCAGTGTTGGCAAAGATTGTTTTCTGGGTACATTTTGGGAAAAAGCATTTTATAGTTCTTTTTGGATGAAGAAAGCATACAATGAAAAAGATTGGAGGAATGTTTTTAGTAAGGAGTTAGTGTCAGCAGTGACAGTGTATGAGAGGATGCTTCTTGAGGAGCAAAGATTGAAACTCCTTGAAATTCTGTATCAGTTTGAAGGCAAAAGTTACAGGTGATGAATTGAAATGGGATTTGCTGGTCAAAAATGATCTGCAACAGTGACTGCTGAACCTATTAGTATAAACATGGTGTTTGAGATTGTCTGCATGGATACAGTTAGAACCCAACACAAATGTAGCACTCATTTTTATTTGAGCTCCTGCCAGATGTTCAGCAGCAGACATGTGCTGTCCGCCTTCTGTCTCCAAATCTCCTCATGAGGTGTAGATTTCTGTCTTTGTACTTTTTATTTTGATTATAGTACTGAGAGCTTTAGGATGATATGACAAAAAAGATAAGTGAAAAGGTAACCTTAGACTGATAGAATTTTTCTGTGGTCTTTAGATAGTCCTTATGCAATGTTTTCAAGTACTTGTAATTTAACTGAATCAGTAAAGCTTTCAGGCTTGGCATCTGTTCAGAGGAGCTTCCCAAACTGTATGAACTGTGTTCAGATACTTTCTTTGTGACAAAAGACTGATAGCCCTCTATTTGAGGGAGGGACATGATTCAAACGTACAGAATCGTGAAGCTTGCGGACTAGATGAATACAAGCAGTTCTTCAGCAAAGCTTGCAGTGGTAGAACAAGAGGCACTTTCTGAAACTGAGAAGAGAATAAATTAAAATAGCCAAAAGTAGTTATTTTAAACAGTTGAATTCTGGTGCTGTCTGCACCAAGAGGTTGTGAAAGCAGGTTTAAAAAGTGGTTAGATGAATTTGTGGACAACAGGTCTGTAAATGGCAGATAAAGGAAATAGTTAGGAACGTAGTCTTTGAATTCCTGCTGTAACAGTTCAAGATGCTGAAGAATTATGAGAACAGGCTATGTAAAACTGCCAGGTTCATGTGCTTCCTTGAGTAGAGTGTCCTTTTACCACCTTCGGAGACAGAGCAGTAGGCTGGATGTGCCACTCCTGACCCAGTAGGGTCTTTCTGATTAATTCCTTTATTGCTGCTTTTTCCTTGCATAATTTTCATTTATCCAAATTGCTCATAATTCAACCTAACCATGCCTTGCACTTTGCAGTGCCTCCTCTAGGCCTGATGCTGTGTGACTTTAGCATAAATTAAGATGCTTGAAATATTCTCCTGTGCGTACTCATCACAATCGGCTGAAGTATTAAGCTGAGTGAAGTCCTGTCCTACTTGTGTCACATTCTCTGCTCAGCCTTTGAAAGATACAGGGTCACTACTGGAATAATTTAGTGACATTCTTATTGATACTTCTGGCAAATCCCTGACATGGTGAAACAATAGCTAGAAGAAAGAAATTTAAACCTCCCAGACTCTTAGTCTGCAGCTGTGGTATATGTTGAGTGGTGGTGGGTTTTTTTTTAAATAGCTGCTAAACTGCAATAATAATTGTAATAAAGGGCTCTTTAAGCATGTCCCTTTGTGGAGTTTTTTGTGTTTGTTTTGTTGTTTTGTTTTGTTTTTGATATTTTTATTAAAAAAAGCTAATTTCCACAGGTAGCAGATCAACCTGTGCTTTCTGATTGCTTCTGTAGAAGCTGGATGAGGACACGGCTGTAAGGGAATTGGCTAAAACTAAATACAGGATCTGGAAATTTCTGATTAGTTAGGTCTGAGCTTACAATCTTTTGGAAATGGGAAAAGAAAGGTTTTTTTGTTGTTTTGGGTTTGTTTTGGCTTGGTTTTGGTGTGTTTGTTTTTTTGTTTTTTTTTTTTGTTTTTTTGTTTTTTTTTTTCCTCTGTTATGTCAGTATGAGAGTTCAAATGTAAAGAAAAACTAAAATGTATGGGTTTTTTCTAAATTCTTTCCTGCTGTAACACTTAAATGATTCAACGTGTATTTGAAACAGAAAGGCAAATTTTAGCTTAAAAAAAACAGCGAATACAGAAAATGATATATAGATTAGTGTTATGTCTTAAGGGAGAGAAGACTGCAAAATTGGACACCTTATCACAAGCAGTACTGCAAAGCTGAAAAATTAGATAAAAGCATTGAGAATGTTTAGAGGGCCTGGAAGAATAGGCAATTTACCTTGGTGGTAAATGAGACCCTACTGAAGTGTGTGTTCTATAAGGCTGACAATCAAAGGAGTATTCTGGGGCATTGAAAGGTGTCAAATTTGAAGCTAAAGAACAGGAAATACGTATATTATGTGTCAGTGAGCTCCATCAATGGGAGAAGAATTGGTGTGTGAATGAGCAATGATAGTGGTACTTGGTTGCCTCTTTCTGTCAGCATTGAATTTAATGTTCAGATATTACACCATCAATTGCTAGTGTTTAAAATGTGATCTTTGAAGCAAAAGAGGCTATCCTCTCTGGTTTGATCTTTCTGAAGTTCTTGCATATGCCTCTGAAGCATCTAATGTTGACCTTGCTCAAATGTTGAGGTCTTTTTATAAAGCTCTGAGTGACTACTGTTTCATGTTTCAGAAACCTACTGTGAGTGTTTCTTAAAACAGCTGAGGCCATGCAAGCCTATTCCATTTCTGGAGCTACTTGTTGTGCTGCATTAGAGGTCTAATGTGTTTTACTCCCAGGTGTTCGAGCAGTTCCAAACATGCGGAAAACAGAGTATTTGGTAATAATTTAACATTACTGTAAGAATCAAAGTTCTTTTCGTCTTGTGCGAAGTCTTGTGTGAAGGTGAATGCTTCGACTTTTTACCAAGGCCTCTACTGACAAGGCAAGGAGCAACAGTTTTAAACTGAAAGAAAGTAGTTTTAGATCAGATATAAGGAAGAAATTTTTTATGTTAAGGATGGTGAAGCACTGGCCCAGGGTGCCCAGAGCAGCTGTGGCTGCCCCCTCCCTGGAAGGGTTCAAGGCCAGGTTGGACGGGGCTGGGAGCACCCTGGGCTGGGGGAAGGGGGCCCTGCCCGGGGCAGGGGGGTGGACTAGATGATTTTTAAAGGCCTCTTTCAAACCAAACCACTCCGTGATTCCCGAATTTAGGATAGATTATATTGAATCAATGTTAATCTTGAGTCACTGTTAATTGGAACCTCTGTTTCCTTGACCCCAGAAAACTACAATTCTTGCTTCAGTCATATTTTATGTGCTCTTAGAAGCTTGTTTATGGAGGTATAATTTAGTTGAGACTGAAATGTCATTCTTACTGAACGTTCCATTTTGTGTAAGTTGAAAAGTTATGATTTAAAGTTACCTGAGGAATATAATTTAGTGTTTGTCAACTTGTTGGTGTTTACTGAAACCACAAAGATATGACAAGGCATAAATTAGTCATGAATACTGTAGCCAGAAGTATCCCAAATCAACCGTGCTGTTTTGCAGATGGGAAATTTCAGTAAGATGAAACTGGTGTATTTTGGATAGAGGCAAGGAGTACACCTGGACAGGATGGAGAGGCATGTAAGCTGCCTTGAAAGCTCAAATAGGGTAGCCTGAAGGTAGTGTTAGCTCTTAGCTAAAACAAGGTGTTTTCAGTTGACTGAACTTTTACAGCCTGAAAATAAGGTAATTTTGTGGAGTTCAAATACCCATTTGCTGCCTGGAAATAAGGTTGTTTTCAGCTTTAATGCCATACTTCTAACCATAGGACCATTATGTCCTCAAGCAATTTCTAACAGCTGTCTGCCTGAAATAATATGGTTGATTTGGGGCTTATGTTTTAATACCTAAAAGTAGCCTAATAGAAGCTGCAAAAAGAAGATGCTTTTTCGAAATGGTTATCATTTCTATTTTAAAAGATTTGAAGTGCAAATAGCAGTGAATGATAAACAGCCAAAATTTCAGCACCTCTCCTAATATTTCACTTTATATAAACCTTCTAATCAGGTAGTTGCTACTGAATGAAAGGCTATCAGAATTCAAAACAGACAATTCTACTACTCAGATGCCCGCAAACTAAGGTTTTAAATATCCTTTAATGAATTTGAAAGACACGATGAGGTACTGCCAGTTGAGAAGATTCATTATCTGTAGGCCACTGAACTGTAGATTGAAAGATGGGAATAAGTTTATAACCAAATTTATGAGTGAATTTCAAGTCAGTGTCACCAGTGGAACAAAAATTGGTAGTTATTGAAAACATTACAATATGAGAAAAGGCTTGTGAAATGGCTGTTGAAAGATTTCTGTCAAGCCTTAATGACTAAATGACATTCCAAACACAACTTTGCTTGCTAAATTAATTTGGAGATGGGCAGAACATGCATATATGTGTATGAAATTTGTTAATCACTTGTGGAGAAATTTAATAAATTACTAAAAACAGCCAGCCCAGGTGCAAAGCTAGACTCAAGTTAACTTCTGTACTTTCTGGAGTTGGCTTTAGCTAAGAAAGATTTGAAAAATTAAACGTCTAACCCAGCAATAACCTTAGTCTGCACTAACTGTTGGAAGAGTCTGCAGCGAACTTGCATTTGAACTTTATTGAGGATGTACCTAACTATGATGCAGACTACTTCCGAACTATTATCTGACTTGTTTTGGGACGCAGTGTCATATGGCATTTTGTAATGAAAGGTCCAAAGCAAGGTATTTGTTTCATGTGGAACCTCAGTGCTAATGTGTCTGTTTTGGTTTGTGTTTTTAGGGATCAGACGGAATCTCTAATTTATTGCTTGCTGAGTGTTCTGTCTGGTGAAAGTCATGTCATCCATATTGCCATTCACTCCACCAGTTGTGAAGAGACTTCTGGGGTGGAAAAAATCTGCTGGTGGCTCTGGAGGGGCTGGTGGTGGTGAGCAGAATGGTCAGGAGGAAAAGTGGTGTGAAAAAGCGGTGAAAAGCTTGGTCAAGAAGCTAAAGAAAACAGGACAGCTGGATGAGCTTGAGAAGGCAATTACCACTCAGAATTGCAATACAAAATGTGTGACAATACCAAGGTAAGTGCTGTTATGTTTGAAATTGTTACAACCACTTAAGAAATTACTAAATGTTTAGGCTATCCTGTGAACAAATGAGTAAAAAAAAAAAAAATCAGTTGCATGCTTTTGATTCTTTAAAAATTCTTTAATACTTATTTTGGTTTTTATATAGTGCTTGCTTACAGCTGTATCACATGCTTTGTAAAGTCACATTTCTCTAATCATATCTACATTTCAATTTTCATTACTTTGTGGATTCCAATTTGTAGGTATTCTGGTGGTGCCTAGCACAGTGCTTAGTTTGTAGCATTGCCTTGCGCTTTTGTTTAATAACTCCATCTATTACCAGAGGGGCATACTTGAACCTACACTTCACTTCCACTTTAAAAAAAAAAAAAGTCTAGTTTTTCCTTGGTCAACACTTCAGTCATCTAATTATTTTCGGTTATATGTGGTACTTTTATTTACATTGTACAAGCTGCATCCATTCTCCCTTTTGAAGGGAAATTTTATCTTTGGAGGCAGGTTGTTTGAAGACTGGTTTATTTACTGTAATTAGTATTTATTATTGGTTAATGAAAGTGCTTTTTATTTAATAACTTAGAGTACTTCTAGAACTGCTATTCTGGTCCTGATATGTATATACATTTAGACGAAGGACTTGCATTTTACCCCTTTGACTTTCTCAACTTAATTCATAGCAACTGCTGTGCGAGAGGCAAGGGTTGTGTTTGTAAGTATAATGCAGTCTGCTCTTGATTCATGTTGTGCAGAAATCCCACTAAGGTGCCTGTGTAAGTTCATTATATGCCATATAAGTATCAAATCACTTTGCGGGTGTGTTTTGCTAAGTAAGAGTTAGAGGGTCTGGTGGCATAGGAATGATTTGGACACCTAGCCCCTTGATGCTTAAAATAATTTCCAAAGGAGAGAAACTGCATCTGGTCTATGACCTTAATTTCTGTATTTGCACATTCATCCCAACTACTTTTAAACTTTGTATTAATCATAGTGCAAACTAGATTTGACTGGTATTTGACTGGTGTCAGTAATGATTTCCATATAACAAATGTGTTATAGCTGTTATCTGAAAATTGTTTTAGCATTCTCTTTTAGATTTGACACAGTTTTTTGGGAAAATCATGAGTATGCTCTGAATGAATGACTACTTTAATTCTGTTCTCTCTTTTCTATTCACTTTTTGGTTCTAATGCTGCCCTGTGCTTGTATTTTCTTCCATAGAGCAGTCCCAAAATTATCTGGGTGTTCTTTCTGCTTTCTTCCTTTTGCCGATGGAAAACAATCAGAAATAAAATATTAGAGCTTTCTTGTCTGAGTGTATATCAGTGGAGTAAGATTGGAACCTGTAGGGGTATATATTTATTGACTTGACATGAGATGACTCTGTGTATTTAGCAAGTCTTGTCTATGACAAAGATGAAATGATTAATTGGAAGACATTTCATATGACAGAAGCTAAATATGCCATACAGAAATTTACTAGGTATAAAATGTGTACCTTTTTATGTGTATATCTTAGATCTCTTAGAGAGACCTACTAGAGCTCTCCTGCAGAGGTACTGGGGCAGTAAATACTGCTACATAAGAAGAATAGTTGTCTAAATTTAATTTTGAAGATGATGTTAGGTACAAACAGCATGCTAATACATCATTGTTTTCCTAGTCTACTTTGAGTATGTCCTCCTGCTTGCATGACCTTTTGTGGTAAAGTAGACACAGTAAATAATTCTTTAAGACAGAATACAAAGCGCTCTTATACTCTACAGAGCTTCCAAGTTGTGACCAGCAGTTCTTGCTGGGCTGTGATGTACTGTTCTTGTTTATCCTTCGGTCAGCTGTAACAAGGACTGGACCTAGGCTTTACTGTTCTTGACTACCTTAGGAGTAAGTTAGAGAGCTCTTCAAGTGATGTTGGCTATTTTACAAGATTTAAGATTTAAGATTAAACTAAGAAATGGCTTTGGTATTAAGGGATAAGATGATATGAGTGTTGCCAGCAGTGCTATACAGAATTCTTGAGTTTCATAGTTGGCTTTTGGACTGTTGATATTATTTCACTTTGACAGCAGTAGTCTGGGTTCCCAAGAAAGAGCAAATGTCAACTCAGTACTGTAATGAATTCTGGCGATTCTTGTTCTTAGATTTAGTAAGTTAATGAAACTGCTGCTTGAGACCCACTTTAATGAATGTCTTAAAGATCTGCAGATCAGCAGGGATAAATAATAAAATGCTGAATTTGAAACTTTTTTTTCTTCTGAGTCAGCAGGAAGTTGGAGGTGCTAAGATGCTGAGATGCAGTTCTGATGTGACAGCTGGGCAAACTTTCCAATCATTGTTCTGCTTGGGGAAGGTTTTTGTGCTCGGTTTTGTGTGGGTTTTTTTTAAACTAGCTTTAGTTTTACTTACTAGTACTGTTTAACTCAGTGTAGATATTGACAAGTGTAGGTTGCTTCTGTTTGTCATGTTTGCATTATTCCCTCAACAGAAGTTTCAGTTGTGGTTTAACAAGTTTATGGTCCCCTTGGAGATTTCCAGAGAGTTTAATACAGTATGTAACTCTAGTATAGTTTTTCATCACTGAAATCTAAAGCAACTAAACACCTACAAGCTATTCTCAAAACTGAGAGCAGCTTGGACAAAAGCTGAATTAAATTGCCACATCAGAAATCTGCATATACTTAGTGTATGTCATGATAATCCTGCTGCAATTAGGATTGCTCTGTTTGTGCTGTTTGTCAAGGTGACTACATATTAAGTGAGGCTGATACTGTGTGTACTATGCAAAAGCTGCTCATGTGGTAATTAACACAACTTCTTACACTGAGGTTCTGAGAAAGCAGAAGCAAACAGATGGAGTGGGTGTTGGCATCGCACAGCAGGGGTGCTTAGCTCTTCATAAGTGGGTCAGTAATCTGGAGCAGAGGCTAAATAAGTACAGAGGTCCTTCTGACACTGGCCCTCTAAGTAATTTGTAGTTATCTTGCTGAATCCTCCCAGCAAGCCAGTGGGATTCTAATTGCATAATCCCTGTGTATCCTGAAACTAAATGTTGGCACATGTATTCACTTTTCTAAAATACATAATGAACATGGTAGAATTTAGGATTCTGTCTTTATGGTCTCCCTTGCAGTTTTGACACAAATGGGACACAAGAAGCGATCAGTGAAGAAACAGATCATGAGCTTCCACTTATATAAGTCTTCGAATGGAGCAGTTTCTTCCTTATTAGCATGGATTATTCTGTTGAAATAAATAGTTTGTAACTAGTGATAGCTAAAATCCAAGCCTTTAACTCACAAACCACACCATGTAGTGAATAGTCAACTGGCATACTGATAGTCTATATTAATTATTTTAAAAATTGTTTCGGTGGTGACAGTGTAGAGTATTGGAATCCAAAGTAGGGAAACACAAATCACTAGTTTCAGTGTTCCAGTATTTTATTGTGATCAGCTGTGTGTTTTTTGCATCTTAAAAAAAGTATAGATATGATAGTATAGATATGCTTTGTGCTTTCTTTTTCCTTCTTTTAAATAAGACCTACCAAAACGCAGTAGCTTTTGTAAAATGCCGGATAATGCAGAACTAATAACAACAGTTTAATTGGCTCAGGTGTGAGATAATGTTGACCTGGTCTGTTGTAGCTCTTGTATTTTTAAAAATTAAAAAAAGGTAGGGGAAGGGAAGCATTGAGTTTAGACTCCTTTGTGACTTCTTACGTTCCTCTAGAGCATACATACATGAAAACTAATGCAGAACTGATTTTGTCTTTCCTGAGCTGTAACTGGGTACATCCGTATTGCACGCTAAACTCTGCTTGCATGCCAGCATTTGGGTAATGTGTCAACTGTACTGGGGCTTTATCTTACATGAAGGATGAGTGGCAGTGGCGGTAACCTGCCTATGTGGAGTACTTCCTAGGTACTGCTGTAGTCCTCCTTTGTGGCATGTCATAACCCATTCCCTCTTCCCTAGGAGATTCCATCCTGCACTGTGCTTTCACTTACTCATTGTTGAACCTGCAGAGCACTGCTGTATCTCATCTCCTTGCTGGCAGTTTCCCTGTTCTGCTGCTGGTGTGATCTACATGATGCAATGCTGGACTGAGGCATGTAAGACCACTGTGTATAGGTGCACCTTTTTTTTTTTTTTTCCCCAGTATATGCAGGAGGATAAAGAATAGATGGATGCCTCCCATCAGTCTCAGCATCTCTAGCTTTCATTTTAGCTTTGCATAGTGAATACAGCTTTCATGCATGCCCTGACAAAGCCTATTTGTAGTTGGGAGGAAGGGGGAGCAGCTAAAAGATACATCTATAACAGTACACCTCTATTTTCTCTTTCCAGATGTTTGTGTACTCATCTCAGTACTGTAGAACAGTTTGATATAGCATCAGACAACTTCCTGATTTATAACTTAACAAGCTTTCTTCTTTAACAGATAAATTTTTTGTTGATGTTAATAGTAGTAGCTGTATTACAGTTATTATGTAAACTTGCTTTTGATACTATGCGTGGAACAGTACTTAACACTTGAATCTTGGCTTTAATGGGAGATCCTGGGTTTATGAAGAGGTAGATTTTGTCACTGCTTTATATTAGAGGAAACTACAGCACCAAGGCAAAGCAGCGTTGAATGCAAAGCAGTGAAGAGTGATCTGACAGATTACTGGCTGAAGTAAGGTTTTAAGACTAACTTCCTTAAATCCAAATTCAGGGATTCTTTGCTGGGGTGCTAGTACCATGAAAGTGATTTGGAGTCTTAAGTGTGAAATACAGCAGTTGCTTCCAGTGCAGATAGCAGGCTAATACTCCTATCAAAGCCTTGCTTTCCAGCCTACTGTGCCATTAGAGTTTTAGAAGATATTATCTGAAAAATGTTTTTTTCTTGCTTCACAGTTCGATATGTATGTAGAAAATGTAGTCTTACATGTGCCTTCTGTCCTTCTTCCTTAACATGAAGATAGCATCCCTATGCTATGTTTCCTGGTTTTCAG